AGTAAATGTACTTAGTTATTTTCCAAAACTACTGTGTTGTTGGTGTGGACTGTAATATAAAAAGGTGTTTCTGTGAAAAATGACCTGGGAGAACTGGGAGATCCTTTGTCAGGAGCCTTACATATATAAGCTTTAGCTGTACTTTAGTATTTTGTCAGCATTGTACAGTAGCTGAATAAACCTTTGTGAAGTTAGGCCTACATTGCACTACCTGCAGTAATTTTTACAGTGCCTTGCGAAAGTATTCGGCCCCCTTGAACTTTGCGACCTTTTGCCACATTTCAGGCTTCAAACATAAAGATATAAAACTGTAATTTTTTGTGAAGAATCAACAACAAGTGGGACACAATCATGAAGTGGAATGAAATTTATTGGATATTTCAAACTTTTTTAACAAATAAAAAACTGAATAATTGGGCGTGCAAAATTATTCAGCCCCTTTACTTTCAGTGCAGCAAACTCTCTCCAGAAGTTCAGTGAGGATCTCTGAATGATCCAATGTTGACCTAAATGACTAATGATGATAAATAGAATCCACCTGTGTGTAATCAAGTCTCCGTATAAATGCACCTGCACTGTGATAGTCTCAGAGGTCTGTTTAAAGCGCAGAGAGCATCATGAAGAACAAGGAACACACCAGGCAGGTCTGAGATACTGTTGTGGAGAAGTTTAAAGCCGGATTTGGATACAAAAAGATTTCCCAAGCTTTAAACATCCCAAGGAGCACTGTGCAAGCGATAATATTGAAATGGAAGGAGTATCAGACCACTGCAAATCTACCAAGACCTGGCCGTCCCTCTAAACTTTCAGCTCATACAAGGAGAAGACTGATCAGAGATGCAGCCAAGAGGCCCATGATCACTCTGGATGAACTGCAGAGATCTACAGCTGAGGTGGGAGACTCTGTCCATAGGACAACAATCAGTCGTATACTGCACAAATCTGGCCTTTATGGAAGAGTGGCAAGAAGAAAGCCATTTCTTAAAGATATCCATAAAAAGTGTCGTTTAAAGTTTGCCACAAGCCACCTGGGAGACACACCAAACATGTGGAAGAAGGTGCTCTGGTCAGATGAAACCAAAATCGAACTTTTTGGCAACAATGCAAAACGTTATGTTTGGCGTAAAAGCAACACAGCTCATCACCCTGAACACACCATCCCCATTGTCAAACATGGTGGTGGCAGCATCATGGTTTGGGCCTGCTTTTCTTCAGCCGGGACAGGGAAGATGGTTAAAATTGATGGGAAGATGGATGGAGCCAAATACAGGACCATTCTGGATGGAAACCTGATGGAGTCTGCAAAAGACCTGAGTACTGGGACGGAGATTTGTCTTCCAACAAGACAATGATTCAAAACATAAAGCAAAATCTACAATGGAATGGTTCACAAATACACATATCCAGGTGTTAGAATGGCCAAGTCAAAGTCCAGACCTGAATCCAATCGAGAATCTGTGGAAAGAACTGAAAACTGCTGTTCACAAACGCTCTCTATCCAACCTCACTGAGCTCGAGCTGTTTTGCAAGGAGGCATGGGCAAAAATTTCAGTCTCTCGATGTGCAAAACTGATAGAGACATACCCCAAGCGACTTACAGCTGTAATCGCAGCAAAAGGTGGCGCTACCAAGTATTAACTTAAGGGGGCTGAATAATTTTGCATGCCCCAATTTTTCAGTTTTTTATTTGTTAAAAAAGTTTGAAATATCCAATAAATTTCGTTCCACTTCATGATTGTGTCCCACTTGTTGTTGATTCTTCACAAAAAATTACAGTTTATATCTTTATGTTTGAAGCCTGAAATGTGGCAAAAGGTCGCAAAGTTCAAGGGGGCCGAATACTTTCGCAAGGCACTGTATGTTCATGGGGCTGGCAGTTCATTCTCAGGTCAGCAAGGCTTTATATCTGTCCGGGCCAGTTTTTTTTTTCCTCCACATAATAAAACTAGATCATGCAGAGGTAAGATTTATCATCTAATGGCAGAAGGGGGCCACAGATGAAGCTTTATTAAACTTTATTTTGTCACTGTTTGTATTGATGTAATAAAAACATGTGTCTATGTCATGTGCTCCTTGAAGAATAGCCACTTTTAAACCATTATCAACAACTACATCCTACAAAATATTGGAGTATTAAGACCAGTGTGTTGTAGCCTTGACCAATGGGGGATTAGATGCAAACATTTCTCAGTCAAAAAAAAAAAAAAATTGACGTCATTGCAAACTCAAAATCGTTTGAAAAACGGTTCAATTTTATTCCAGGCTAAACTATCACACACAATCCAGTTCCAGACATTAGAACTGTCCAGCTTGATTTGAGTGGTATGATGATGATGATGAACCATGGCTATTCACCAGAAGCAGTTTAAAATATAATCTTTTTTATGTTTGTTTGTAGTTACTTTTAAACCAGGCTGTTTAACTAGTGACAGTTTGCACTAACTGCTAGCAGGGAGGGGGAGTGCTAGGTTGATTTGGAAATTTGGCATACTTCATGGACATAGATATGCAAAGCTGAGTCACTGTTTCTTTAGATTTGTTGTTTCATAATTATTAACACAGAGCTACAGTATACAAATATCCAGCCTGTGTCACAAAAGACTGTGTTCTGATGGCTCAGCTGCAGATGTCAGTCATCAAATCTGGGAAATGGCCTCTGTTGGATATTTGAGTCACAGCTGTGTTGCAGCACAGTGAGTGGGATGTTTACACATGAAGCCCTTATCAAACACTGAACCGGGGACCTTGTTCAGATAAATATCCCACTGAGCTGAGCGGCTGTTCATTCTCCAAGAAGACGAGACCAAAACTGGTGGCCGAAGCAGCATGGCGCCGTCACTTCTCGCAACAGCAGGAGGGCTACTGTTACTTTTTGCCTTCTCATCAGCAGTAAGTCACCGACTTCAGAATTTTCACTGATGATGTTTTCTTGAGCACAAAAATCTAAACCTAAATCTTTTTGTGCAGCAAAGAGGGGACAACATTGCATCATGCACCCAGAATGATGGCTTTGTAAGTAAAGAGTCCTAAATAATAACTCTTTGTGGGTCTTACTGTGTGAATTGTGCATGAACACATGATTCAACACACTAACACTGATGTTTTTAATTTTTTTCTGTCTTTTCAGGGAATGTACTGCCCTACTACGTGTGGAGTGGCTGATTACCTGCATAGGTATTTGCCAGGAGTGACCAAAGATTTGGACGGTTTCCTAGCTGAACTAGAAACAATTTCCAATTTGACCCAGGGGACGGAAGAAAACATTGTCTACATGAAAGACACTGTTACTTCAGCTCAAAAGACCAGCCCGTCAGGTAACACACTTAATGTGGCACCATTAAATCTTGTCTTAAGAGATACATCTATATACAAATGGTATTTACCTATTTACTTACTTTACTCCTCTGTAAAACAGATGAATCTGTGTAATTTTAAACTGACTTCTCATTTCAGACTCATCCTACAAAAGGTCATCCAGCATGCTGGATGATGTTTATCGATTTGAAAAGACTATCATTGCACAGGAATCACAAATACGGTAAGTTATCATTAGTACTCAAATTGTACCTTATTGGCTCATCTGCAGTGACATGACACCTTATACCCAAGTGGTGGAGAATAACTAAGCACATTTACTGAAGTACGATAATTAAGTGTACTTTTGAGCTACTTCATTACTTCCATTTTATGTCACTTAATACTTCTCCATCACTACATTTCGAAGTACTACCACTACAGTTGTTTGACAGCTGAGGTTACAGATTAAACTTTATTTACAAAATATAAACAGCCTACAGTATCAGTTATGGTGCTCCACCTCCTCCAGTTCTATGCTTCTCACCCATGAAGGCATCAGTAATAATGATCTAATACATTTATATAGGAATATGTTGAATATAAAATGATATCCTAAAAGACGCCCCTGCATACTTTTTATTGCCCCATGATCCAGTTTGTATTTGATTCCCTCTTTCCAGTGAACTGCAGGAGATAATTTCAGCCAATGACAGGAGCATTACAAGCTTGAAACAACTAGCCATGCAACTGCAGCAGAAATGCAGTGAGCCTTGCAAAGACACGGTTGAAATCCAACCCACTACAGGAACAGGTAAAAAAAAAAAAATCAAATGTGACCCACAGTCCATTACCATTTCACAAGAGGTTTCTCAATCATGCCTCATCTGAACATTTGTCCTTGCTCAGTGTTTCATCAAAGACTAAAATCAATACGCTGCATCAGTGCAAAGTAAATATACTTATTCTAGATGTGATCTCTTGTGACATTTTCTGAGAAAATTCCTAACATAAATACAATTAAGACTAGCAGTCAATCCAATTTTGGGCAGTCTGGATTTATTATAAACATACCCCTGTCAACCTGGGTAACCCAGATAGCTATCTACATTTTGTTATGACATATTTAATAATGTTGCGCTTTGCTCTCTCTTCATCTTTATTTATAAGACTGCCAGGATATTGCAAACAAAGGCGCCACCACCAGCGGTCTTTACTTTGTGAAGCCAGCAAAAGCTACTGAGCAGTTCCTGGTCTATTGTGAGATTGACAACTTTGGACGTGGCTTCACAGTAATACAGAGGGTATGCATCACTTGTGAAAAATATCTTTGTACTGGCTTCATTTTGTACTGGATGACTCCTATATATTGATTTGTAAAATAAGATTTAGATGCTCAGAAAAACAGCTTGTAATTTGACAACACCTAAATAATAAGACAGAACTAAGCTGGTACATTGACTGAAAGAGGCAAAGCAACATACCACCAAAGTTATGTAGCTGAGATAAAATATTATTTTCATGTTCTAATAATAATAGTAATAATAATATGAGTTATATTAGATTATGCTGAGGTCTGTTGTGTATGACATCAAATGTTTGACCATTAAACATA